TCTTAGATTTATAGATTTTGAGGTAAAAAAAGTGTTTATCTTGGGCTGATGTGCTTTTTAGCTTCCTTTGAGCACTGTTATAAATTCAAGTAGAACTAGAACTTAAGTAAGCAACTTTGTAAAACTTAATTCAAATTATCCTTGATCTAGTGGAGAGAGGAACACCAAGAAACATTCAAGTTTACAACCCCACACCAAACAGCATGAATGTCCGATGGGAACCTGCTCCAGGTCCAGTACAGCAATATAGAATTAATTACTCTCCACTGTCTGGACCAAGGCCATCAGAATCTGTAAGTAATTTAGTTTTTATACTATTCCATAAAAATGTGAAGAGGATATTGCTTCCTTCAATGAGTGTAGAACAATAATAATAAACTCAGGCCAACTGTCTGCCCAGGAGTGTCCCTGCTGAAAAACATGTGTCTACAGGAATTTAGTCCATTGTAAATAAATACCTAATTTAGTGAAACAAAAGAAATAAGAAATAAGGCTCTCCCATTTAAAACTGAGTATTGAGGATTGAGTATTCTTCATCATATTGCAGGTAAAGATGAGTTAAAATAAAACCTTTCTTGTTTTTGAAAAAGAGAGAAGGAAACAACAAATATTTATTAGGAAATGTTTAATTATGAAACCAGATGCCAAGTTTATGTGATTTTACCACTAAACCATCTGTTTACCTCAAATCATAAAAGTTTAAGTAGGTTGTGGTGAGCAGTGAAGTCTGGATATGGGTAAAAATTTGCCCTCCAGATAAGCAAGAGTTGGATTTGTGTAGAATTAGGTGCAGTTTTAGAGCTAAGCCTGTGAATATACTCATACAAAATGTACACTCATATTGTACATGTGCAGATGAATATGTTTTTATGTAAGGAAGTGTAAGATTTTTTGATGAATCATTTGCATCTGTAAAGGGAACTGCATGTTACTTTACACATGAGTGGGATCCTGTGCATTAGTACCTGTTAGAAAATGTCCTTTATGTGACAGAATTTACTGTTTTGGTTTCTGTTCCTGAATGTTTCTTCTTTTTTTCTGAACTATTTTTATGTAAATTGCAAAAAATAAAAATTTTATCTGCCGAATGAGAGCTCCTTATGTATTTATATTTTTTTGACACCTGCTCTTGAATTTTTATCAACATTATTTGGTTATTTTAAGTTTGTATTATTTTTCTTGGAAAATGTGCACTGTGGTCATGTTCCCAATTTTTCTGTATTTCATTCAAATTGTTCATTCTAAAAAGACATGGTATAAACTGAAGCTTTTTCTATATAGGAGCCTTTTGTTTCTGTTTTAGATTGTGGTTCCAGGCAACACTCGTGATGTGATGCTGGAGCGCTTGACTCCTGACACTGCTTACTCAATAAATGTTGTAGCTCTGTATGCAGATGGAGAAGGAAATCCAAGCCAAGCACAGGGAAGAACATGTAAGAGACAGTCAGTACTTGCTTTGTGAAATATATGTCAAATTGGTGTGTGAAGAATTTATAAAATTACTTGCAATCACAAATACTGTAAACTCTTCAGTGCAACTCTGAGATTGATGCAACTGAATTATGGCTGAAGCAGTTACAGGCCTCCATGTAAGGGAGCTTTTACTGTGTTGTCTGGAAGCTGTGGCACATGCATAATCATCAAAGTAATTTTCACTTGTGAAATAAGCCTAATTTAAACATTTAAGAGTTTAAAAGCTGCTCTTTAAAATGTGATTACAGATAAATAGCAATTTGTCTTTTGAAAAAAAAATAGTAGTACATTAAGATGGGTAGAATTTGCTGTCAAGAGAAAAAAAAATGCTTTATGTTCTGTGTCTTACATGATAATACATCCCTAGATGTTTGTTTTTTTCTGGAGCTGCCTAAACTCTGAAACCTCCTTGTTGAAACTTAGCTTGTGTAATTTTGCTTGGCTTACCCTTGACTTCTTTAAAAGTCATTTAGAAATAATGTATAAAGAAACTCTATCACAATAATAGGTCAACTCTCTTTTGCTGTTTCTGTGCTTTAAACACCCATATTAATGTAAAAATAGCAGACGTGACAGGCTATAGTTACACTTGTCTGCAAGAGTCTGAGAAGCAAAATATATGTCGATGCTCACTTTGCATGTCTGTCTGATGCTCTCATCCTTCCATACTACTCCAGTTCCTCCAGTTCAGGCCCTATTTCTGTTTAAGACCTTCAGGCACTGCTGTGTTATCATTAACTAAATCTACCTGGAAATATTTATTCAGGGGTTCAGGGAGGGCCCTTAGCTTTGGCTTCAGGGTAGCATTTGAATCAGTGGGAACTACACTGGTCTGGAAGAGTCATGCTCCACACAACCTTGTATGTTTTCTTTCTTTAGTGCCTCGCAGTGGTCCAAGGAATGTGAGAGTGTTTGATGAGACCACAAACAGCCTTTCTGTACAATGGGACCATGCTGATGGGCCAGTCCAGCAGTACAGAATCATTTATTCACCCACTGTGGGAGATCCTATTGATGAATATGTAAGTTCTGTAATTCCTTAGTCAGCACCTAAATGTTCTCAGTTGATTATCTTTAGAGTACAGAAAAACAGACACCTGTTTTACTTGTAGTGCACTTTGTGTGCTCTATGGGTTCTTTGGTCATTGTTTTCAATGCTGAGAAGCTGTGGTTTGTATGAAACAGGGGTTTTGTTTATTTGTTTGTTTATTTTTTCCCCACAAAGTTGAAGAACATAAACAGTTTAATGAACCAACTTGTGTGTACAATAATGTTAAATGAGTCACATATTAATCAGAAGATTCTGACCAGAACCTACTTCCTGACATTTAGTTCAAACATTGTGCTACAGTAAATAGCCCTCTATTACTTCATATTCTATTCATTATGAAGTCAGTGTGCTAAGATACAGAATAAACATAAGTCTGCATTTTCTAAATTGAAGAGAGTTGGCAGAGTTTAATAAGAAAGCAATGGTAACTTTGTTTCAGTATCTAACTTGCTTTTGTAAGGTTCAATATGATTTTTGTGTGTTTGTGTTTAATTTCCTGTAGCTTAATGATAGCACATTAATCTGATGCTTATAAAATTCGCTGTTTATAGCAAAGCCAAACTCTGATCCTACAGAGGTCAATGGCAGAATTCCT